AGGTTATTGCACAGGTAGTGACATTGAAATTGAATTATGATGGTAAGATGATACAGCCTAGTATCAGCCTAGATACAGACACATAGCGCAGCGGCAATAAATAATAAACATATTAGCTGTCAAAAGCTAATATTATTCATATTAGGTGTCACAGATGTGGCTTGGTGTAAAGTTATTGCCAGTTGTTCAGTGTTATTAATCAAGTTTAGTAATCTGACCGCTTATGGGTAATAGCTGTCCTATAGTCTTTTTGTACATGATGGTAGACTCCTGCATCATCTGCCTGAGGGTAGTAGATAGAAGGGTCCTTGTGCTGGGTGGGTGTGGTCCTTAAAGATGCTGCGTGCTTTACACAGACATCGGCTGTGGTGGATGTCCTGGATGGTGTGGAGACTTCTACCAGTGATGTCCTCTGCTGTTTGCACCACCTTCTGTAGTGCTTTGTGGCTCTGACTGGTGCAGTTCCTGTTACTGGCAAAACCTGAATGTGCTGGGTGTATGGGGTCCTTCATGATGCAGGTGGCCCTCTTCCTGCATCTGGAGGTGGGGATGTCGGTGATGGTGTGGAGGCTGACTAAATGCACATAACCTGACGTGATGCACTGATTTATCTGGATGAATGATACATGATTTAGACAAATACAACCTTAGCTTGTGACTGATTTCTAATCAAACGCATTATTATATTTCATGTGATTAAAAACAACACCCTGCACATCATAATAATGTTAGAGAATTCTCAGTAACTTTGTCTCATCTTTGGCTTTTGCAGTGATAAGAACACACCAAAAGATGGCAGCATCTCCCTACACTTTTCTTGAATTACAATTCAGTTTATTGCACACCTAATAGTGTGATATGATGTTCTAACAAGAAAATTTAAATGCGATTATTGTTAATTTGCAGATTTAACAAGCAGGACCAATCACTTCAAATTCATATTGATAAGGTTTATAATGAGTTTATTGGTGTGAGACTGTTGAAATTCTGCTCTATGTTTGATCAGCAAATATTGGATCTATGCAGAATTTATTAACTTATCGAATAATATAATGTGATGAAATTTGTGTGTGGGCGCACTGATTATGGAAGTGTGTGAAAAGAAGTGTCTTGGAACGGGAAAGTGAGAAGAAAGCTGTTAAACTCTTCTAATGTCATTACTTCACAATTTCCTCAGCTTAAAGCCAAACACATTGTTGGCTGCTCTCGAGCAGGAGTCACACATAACGTTACAGCCACTAATCTGCAGCGGTGGAGCGGGCTGGCATACCTTTGCATACTGTAGAATCTGATAATTGGATCAATAACATAGCAACATTTTTGGGGCATTGCTGGGATGGCTGGCTTCTTCTCCAGTTGCACATTGCTGGCATTCAGCATTCATTCCCACTTCATAGGTGACAAAGTGTGAATGTGAACAGGAATTCAAATGGAAGGCCTGTTAAATGGGAAGAGTGGTGCAGCAAAAACCTGGATCACATCTGGCGGAGCAGTCTCAGGGTTTTAAACATGAAAACATCTGTGGAGTCCGTACAACAAAGAACACCTGACATCTTTACTCTGGTGTCTAAGAATTGAATTCTTGTCTCTCGATTCATTTGCAATGTCACTGCAGTTACTGAATCAATCAGCCCCTACTGCTCAAGGTGTAGTATTGTGCAAAAGTCTTGAGCCAGATTAGAATTTTTTTTTTTTTTCCCAAAAATGCAAATTTTCTTAAAGTGGCTTTGAGCAACAGTTTTTTTCCTCTAATTTTATTATTGTTATTATTCTTTTGGCTTATTTTTGTTTTGTTTATGTTGTATTAAATTTTAAAGTGGGGGAGTGGCGCCGAGATTATAGAAGCAAACCAATGATTGGAAAGTTGCCGGTTCAAACCCCCCTGCTGACTTTAACATCAAAAAATGTGGGTGGAAAAGGAGAAGCATCTGCATCCCCAGGTGACCCTGGAGGGCAGCTCTCTGCTCCACACAGAGGGCAGTGGCAGCTCTGTGGTTGTATCAGGAAGGGCATACGGGATAAAACTTATTCCAAATCCTTGAGTAAGTTCGCTGTGGTGAAGAAGGGAGCAGCCAAAAGGAGAAAAAGAAAGTAATAAATATTAACGTGGTTAAATCCTCCGTTCATTTTCAGTTCAGTTCAGTTTGTCTGAACATTTTTTTTATTTATTGATAGCCTCTTATATATTATAATTAATAAAAACAAAATGAACAGCACCTAAACCCAAAGACAAAATGCTTTTTTTTTTTTGAGTCAACAAGAGACAACAGCAAAGAACATATTTTAAACAATTTCTTTAAGGACTTATATACAGCCTGTTTCAAATGTAGTTGTTTATTTGTTATTGTTGTTATAGCTATTGTATAGGCCAATGATGAGTCATAAAATGATATTTTTGTAAAAAAAACAAAAAAAAACCTAATGAGGTGGCACGGTGGCGCAGTTGGTAGAGCTGCTGCCTCTCAGCAAGAACGTTGCCAGATCGAATCCCGGCTGGGGGCCTTTCTGGGTGGAGTCTGCATGTTCTCTCTGTGCATGCGTGGGTTTTCTCCGGGTACTCCAGTTTCTTCCCACAGACCAAAAACTTGCATGTTAGGCTGATTGGTAACTCTAAATTGTCCCTAGGTGTGAGTGAGAGAGTGAATGGTTTGTCTCGTTTGTCTCTGTGTGTCCCTGTGATGGACTGGAGACATGTCCAGAGTGTCCCCCGCCTCTCGCACAGTGATGGCTGGATATGGGCGCCAGTGACGCCCCCCGACCGAGAAAGGAAACAGCAGGTAAAGATGATGGATTAATGGATAAAAACTACCGGTAATAAATTTAGGGGAGTGGTGGTGCAGAGGTTAAAGAAGGTGGGCCTGTGATCGAAAGATTGCAGGTTCAATTCCTGGTACTGACAACATGAAAATGTGGGTGGGATAAGTAAAGCAGTCACACCTGTCATCACCCTGATTTGCCCCACTCTATGCCCTTGAGCAAGGCCCTTAACCCCCACCATATGCTTCCCCGGGCGCCCTAGACAGCAGCTCTCTGCTCCACACGGGGATGTGGTAGCTCAGTGGGCTGTGGCTGCATCAGAAAGAACATGCGGCGTAAAAATAATTGTCTAGTCTTCGTGCGACTTAGCTCGCTGTGGCAACTCCTAATGAAGGGAGAAGCCGAAAGAAGAAATAATAATAATACATTTCTAACAAGCTATCAGTTAAGAGCTGGACACACCTTCACACAGCGTGCAGTGACTCCCAAAAACACCACATCCACAGCAATATGTTGATTATAATCCTTAAAAGGTTAAAAATCTTGAAACACTCTTATAAAAGAAACATCAAATGGATCTGCTTCTTGACGTAATCCATGCTCTGCATTCCAAGTGTGAGATTAGCTGTTAAGAATTTCAGTTTGTACATTAAAAAAAAAAACATTATTTGACTAATTGTCTTACTTAAACCAATTATATATGGCTTCCTGTTATAACCCATAAAAACAATTTAAAATAGTTATTTATGAAATTGCCTTTCATGTGCAGACAAAGCACTTGCTCAAGCTGTGAGACGGGACCTTTTTGATGCTGAAATGGTTCAGCGTCAAGTTTAACAAATAAAACTCCCAATGAAAATAGTTAAAATTAAATAAAAAAGATATATATCTTTAAAAAAAAATACAGGCAATGTCTGAATGGTTTTAAAGATCTTCAGAAAGCCTGACTAATACTGTGGAAAAAATAATAAATACTAGAATGTTTGACTCATTAGAAGCAAAACATGAATAATTTCAGCATGGCTGAAAAATGCTGCCACATTACTGTAAACAGTCAGAAGCTGTGACGATGTGCAGTAAAATATTTATTGACATTACAATCTTCTTGGACACAAAAATGAGAAATGACACGCACAAAAAAAAAAATAATCCCAAAATATTCAGAAAGATCCACGTCCAAACATTCAAACAAAATAAAAATATTAAATTAGAAACAAAGTCTTCACTGAGTGTTCAGACTCCTTCTGTTCCATCATGAGCAAATATTGTTTTTTTGACATTTTAAAACAAAAGATAAATAAGAACATCAAAAACACATTGCATGGGCACCTCTCAGTTTAAGAAACTCAACAAACTGAACCAGATTTATTTCAGAACACTGGCCAAAATATTACAAATACACATTGATATCGATAAATAAAAACGTTTGTTCTGAAGAGAAGTATTTCATATAATAAAAAAAGGCTTCGTGACGAACGTCACAAAGCATAAACTGCCATCGTTCTTGCCCTCGGGTATTGCTGCATGTTGCATTTGTGAAATGCAGATAAGTGGATAATGACGGCACAGAGCATGAGACGGAGATAACAGCTGGAAGAAGTCCTTGCTCGTTACTTTTCATCCCCTCTGCCCCCCTTCATCCCTCTGTCCTCTGAACAGAGTCTGCTGTGATTCTGTCCGTCTCGGTCCAAACAGGTCACCGGGGCTCTCATCTTGCCAGAGTCTGTGCACCGGCGCTGACCACACAGAGCAGAGGAGCATCAGAGAGAACAGCCAGTTCAGACGCTGTGTCTCTCTGCCGTGCTCCCTCCCTCTCTGCTTTATCTCCATGGTGCACACACGTCGACCTGGAGCAAGGCAGCATACTGGCACGGGAGGCTGGAAACAGAAACAAGGGGGTGGATGGATGGGGGGGGGCTGCAGCGTGAGCGGGGATAAAGGGACACGCTGCTTCAATAGCGGAGCAGGTCCAGGGACTAATTGGATCTGGTAATGGCAGGTCAGTGTGACTAAAGGGCTCGTTAGAACCAGTACAGCTCCTTGCCTTTCTTGTGCTGCTGGAGGCCTGAGGAGAGAGAAAAGGCCGAGAAACAATGAGGAGGACAAGAGCGAGCAGCAGAACACAGGTTGTCATGGAGCCTACTTTGGCCAAACATCCTGTGTCAGAGGAGCGAAAAGAGAACGTCTGTGATGATTGTGATCTGTGTGTGTGCGTGTGGGAGTATCTGTGAGCCTGAAAACATTCAGCTTCGGGCAATTAGGGTTAGAAAGTGACACCTTTACCAGGAGTCTAATTGTTTATGTGAAAGATTACAAGACTGCATTTTGTTTCTAATTATCTTCAGCTTGTTTAAGCAATTAAGATTCATTTACATTATGTCTTAGAAAGGCTGCCCTTTTTAAAGCATTCATGTAATCATTAGTTAAAACCGTAATTGTTTTTTTTATTTTCTTCTTCTCGGACCTGCTCTAATTTTAAACCGTAAACTTAAATAAAAATGCATTTTCTGTAAAAATGCTGCGTGAAGCTGAGTGATGATTTGTTGAAATATGATGGAAGGGTGCAACGGATTTCCTACAGCTCGCTGAAGCTAAACGCTAAAAGAAGCAGAACACTAGTTAAAACTACAAGGTAAAGAACATGGGCTAAAAGTAAAAAGTAGCCAAACATCAGCTAAACGCTTCAGGAAGCAAAAATTATAGCAAAAGTAGCTAGCTAAAATTTTTAATGGAAAAACACTAGCTAAAAACAAGAAATAAACAAGTGGTAACAAGAACTAAAATGATAGCTATATCCAAAAGTAGCAAAAAATAGAGCAAGAACGCCAAAAGCAGATTTCAGAGAAAGTTTTTAGAGGAATGAAAGAGAATTCAATATATTTCTGTGGAGAAACGTTTGTAAATAAATGTATATATTGTGAATAGTATAAAAGTTATAACGCAAATCTGTAACGCCCATTTCTTTAATGAGCTGAACAGTTCGATGTATGTGAATAAAAGATGCAGAAGTGGTTACAATGCATAAATAAATAAATCAATAACTTATATTAAAAAAAACAGAAAAGCAAATGTGTGAATCATAAAGTTGTAATTCAATGTATGCGTTTAAAACTTTAAGTTTTTCAGGAGTAAACTAAATTTCTATCTGTCTGTCTATCTATCTATCTATCTATCTATCTATCTATCTATCTATCTATCTATCTATCTATCTATCTATCTAAAAGTCTGACATTGGTGAACATGTACCTGCATCCATGTTGAGAGCCAGCGTCTGGGTGACGTCTCCGGGGGGGAGCAGGCTGGGCCAGGAGGTGGGGGGCTCCAGCTTGCTCACTTCATAATGGCTTGGCAGGGTGGCTAGATGAGGTGGTCTCACCGTGGGCATAAGCAGGCCCCCGTAGTGCGGCTCCAGAGCGGACGGCGAGTACAGTTCACGTAAAGGCCGCGGGGGGCCGTAGGCCTGGGCCTGAGGATACCCCCAGCTTTCCGCTGGGTGAGCGTGGGGGTGAGGATGAGCATGTGGGTGAGGATGGGCGTGTGGGTGCGGCAGGCCCGGGTGTAGCCCCGCTGAGTACGGGTCCATGGAATAGGAGGGCATGCTTGTTTCGCAGTGGGGGCGGCTCTGTGGTGAAGAGTAGCTACTGTCCCAGAAGGATGGAGGGAAGCATCTTCTGCTGCTCGGTGAAGGAGCGTCTAATGAGACAAAACAAGACCAAAAGCACTGATCAAATTTAGATCAGGTCATGACTCATCAGTCAGCAGTCAACCATTTCATTACCACCCGCTGACAAAAGACAGAAGACAGGTGAGAAGGTTGTCGCCTGTCTGAACATCTGTGTTTGTCTCATGACCATTTCATTTACAGCAGATCACATTTTGGAGTCTACTTAATTCAAGATGGCCGCCACAGCTAATCAACCTCATCAAACACAAGAGGGACTATAGGTGTTATATGAGCATACATAACCCCAAACAGCTGCTTTGAAGGTTATCAGCCCATTAAATGGCCATCATTAGTTGTTATTATCCCCATAGGGTGCGTTCAGACTGCCCCTCCTACCTGCTAGTAGGTTTAAAAGTACGTTGTTATTGCTGATAATACGCAGCTGAAAGTTGGTTTTTTGTTGTTAGCTGTATGTAACCCTTTTCCTAAACTTAGCCCTACACCTGACCCAGAACCTTGACGCTTAACCTAACCCCCAGACGCTATTATCAACGATAAGAACGTACCTTTACACCTACTAGGAGGCACAGTCTAAAAGCAGCCTATGGGGATGATAACAACTAATAACGGCCATTTAATGGATAACATTCAAAGCGGCTACCAAAGACACACGTTGAGACCTCACAGATACAAGATCTTTGTCCAAAATCACATTAATTATTTGCAGTCAACTTTGTCTGTCTATTAGCAAAATATTTCTTTGAAAGTTGTTGATACTTTTCAGATATAATAACAGAACATCCCTCTACAACTGATTGCCTGATTAACTTGTTAATAACCTTTTGTGTCAGTCAGTTTAAGATGTCTTCCACAACTGCTGCAGTTTTACAAACATGAAGCTCAAATCGGATGTGGTAACAGCTGAGTCATCTTCATCGCTCAGCATGTGATCTCACAATATTGCATGACTTTGCACATATAACAATGTTAGTGAAGTTTGCACAGAACAACTATAACTTCATCGTTTCTCCACAAAAAACAGCCTCCGTTTAAAAGGTCCTGGGTGATATGCAGTCCTTCAGTGACTGCTCGGTTTTTAATCTCCAAAGAGGCTGAAGCTGTGCAACATGAATTAGATGTCACTCACATGACTGCTACACCCTCTGGCCCAGATTTCTTCCCTATTGGATCATACTGTCACACAGCCCTAGTCCCAACAAGACACAGAAATAAACACAAGCACGCTTTGCAGACAGACGGAGAGAAAAAGAGAGAGAGAGTAAAGGGGAGACACAAAGTGGGACGAGAGATGCTCCTGTATCCTAAAATTCTATAAAAGGCAGACGCTGCAACCTGGAGGCAGCCCAAGGCTCACCGAGTGTTAAATCACTCGCTCTGGTGACACTTCTCAATTTCATGTCGGCCCGGTGCTCCTGAAAGTCTAAAAACACACACAGACCAGCAGTTCTGCTCCTAAACTAGCACCAGCCGAAACTTTTTACGTCTCCACCTCCACCTGTTGGTTTTTTTTTCCTTCTTCCCTCGTCTCTCCTTGACCTCGTCAGAATGTCAGCACCAACTTTTTTCAGCACTTTGTATCAAAACATTCCTCTAAAAAAAAAAAAAGGACACCCCCATCCCCCCCCCCCCCCCCCCCGCTCCCACCACAAGCAACATTTACGCATCCAACCAATCCACAGACTGCATGTGCAACCTTTGTGGGCGAGAGTTGGAGCAAGAGTCAGAATGGCAGCCGCGGAGATGTTTGAAGGGGATACGTCGGCGAGGCTGTACACTTACGACCGGGTATAAACATAGCACCTGTTGTGAGGCAGGGAGCGTGAGCTGGTGCCGAAATGAAGACGTTCAGCTGGACAAGAAAAGAGACTACAGCGACAGCAGAGCGAGCGGGTGAGGGTCGTTACAAGGCCCTACATGGATATCTAGGATGTCTTCATCCTGAGGAAGAGTCCTCCAGAAGACTCTTTTTATTCTTATATGCAAAGACACACATTTTACAAATACATCAATATATCAAATAGTTTAAAAGCACAGCTTCTGCATTAAAAATGTGAATTTAATGTTTCTGATTGTTGCGTTTTCAACAACAACAAAAAAAAAGCCCTGCTTGATCTATTTTAGCCCAAGTCTCCTCTGACGGCCAAGGAGCTGTTGACCTGCATGACCTCAGGCCATGACCTCCAGAAAGAAGCACCCTTTGAGTCCTGTCACTTGATCACATCATCTGCCCGACCCTGTGCTGTGCTCTGCAGAGCTCTGGGCTAAAAACGTGCAAGAACCCTCAAATCGAATCATTTTGTTTGTGAAGGATGTTTTTTTGTTTTTTTTTACACAACATGTCAGTTACCTGTTCCCTGTTGTTCTGCTGCCCTCCGTTTGCCCTCTCCATCCATGTAGGAGCTGAGAGCCCTGGAGAAGTGCTCATCCACCACGCTGCTGATGTCTCCATGGTAGTAGGTGAAGAGGACGCAGCGAGAGGTCAGATACTCCGCCTCGGGGGCCTCCTGCTTCTCCTTGGGGCCCTCAGCTGGCCTTGAAGATGCTGCTGTGTAGGAAGAAGAGGAGGAGGAGGAGCTGGATGAAGATGAGGAGGAAGTCGACCCTCCGGTGCCTGGGCCCCCAGACATCCCTTCGGGAACGCTGGGAGGGTCCATAAAGTCCCGGCTGAGAGGCGCAGCACTGCTCAGACCTGAAGGAGCCTGTCGGGTGTTGTGGGGGGTGGAGGAGGGGGGTGGAGACAGGTGTTGCAGAAGAGACTTATTTAACTGAACATTTTGGCTCAATCTGTGCACGTGCGCATGAACATAACAGCATGAAGCAAGACATTAATGGGCGAAAAAGGACAAAGATTATCGACTAAACTGTTCAACATATTAAATGAAATTAAAAATAAAATCGTAATCAGGTTAAATGCATGACTTTTGAAACAGTTAACTGCGTTTACGCACAACCGGCTGAAACTAACAGCGTGGATACTTCTGTTTATTTTCATTAAATAACTCCAATTTATATTAGAAATACCGAATATTAAACACTCCGATGCGCCTGTACCTGTAAGCTGTTGATAAATGCAGGAGCAGTCGGTGCGTACGGTGCGTAACGTCCATAAGCTGGGTACATAACATCCAAACAGCTCATGGTAGATGAGCGGTGCCTTCACTCTTCTGATGAAAACCACTCCTGTAAGCCAGACAACATGCCGTCTTCTTAGTCGAGGGGGCTCACTGATGGCTGTTCAGCTGGGATGAAAAGAGAGAAAGAAAAAGAAAGAAAGAAAGCGGGGGAAGCCCGTGCCAGTTTGGGCATAGTCAGTCCAGAAAGAGCGCACCGCTCCGCCTTCCAGCGCGCCCCGCGACAGCTGCAGCAAAATGTGGTGAGGTTTATGAAGCGAGCACGAGGGTGTCCTGTCCTGTACCTCGCGTGTGTCGACCCCTCCTCCCTTCACCCGCGCCCCACGTTGTCCCTGAACCACCAATGCACCACCATCAATAAACTAAAACATAGGTCTTGAATGAATGAATGCGTATCGCCCGTCGCCTTTCGTGCCAGAGTTTCAGAATAAAATCATCTCGTATGGGAAAAAAAAGAGCTGTGATCGTTTCAGTAAAACTTTGAAATTAAACTCAGTACAGTTCTCGTCGTTCTGATTTGAGCTGACACCAAATGTAATGAGTTGTAAATTCGCTCGTTCATTTCTGGGAGTTTTGCTAAATTCTGCGCAGTTGTTGATTTTGAAAGATGAAGTGAAAGTTTTGCGCCCTCAAAGTATGTGTTAAAGATGACTCTCAGCTACGACTCCAGCAAATCTTAGCTAAATATCTGTAACATTGACAGAGTTCTGACCATTTTGACAATGGACTGGTGTCTATACTGGTCCTGTTAGACCTCAGTGCTGCATTTGATGCAGTTCATTCTACTACAGAGACTTGAATATGATGTTGGAATTACAGGAGCAGCTCTAAATTGGTTTAAATCATATCTATCTGATAGATTCCAATTTGTAAATGTTAATGAATCTTCATCATGCACCAAAATTAGTCATGGAGTTCCTCAGGGTTCAGTGCTTGGACCAATACTCTTTACTGCATATGCTTCTATTAGGTACATTTCTTAAACAGCATGTTATACAGTTTCATTGTTGTGCTGATGACACACAGTTGAAGCAGATGGCCGCTTGTCCTGAGCCTGGTTCTGCTAAAGGTTTCTTCCTCATGAGGGAGTTCTTCCTTTCCCCTGTCGCCTTCGTGCTTGCTCAAGATGAGAGTCTGTGATGAAGTTAAATTCAAAGCAGTTTGCTCCTCAGATAAATAGTAACTTATTATTTTATATATGAATGTTTCTATTCAGTGCCCTGAGACGACTTCTGTTGTGACTTGGTGCTTTATAAATAAACTGAACTGAATTTAATTTTTTGTGAATAGGCTGCAGCTGTTACTCTTATTTGTGTTGCATGATGATTTGTTTGTGAAAGGTTTGTTAACATCTTTCCAGAGGATCATAATATATTTTGCTAACAATCAGACATGGCTGACTCCTAAAGTTAATAGCAAAATTTAAAGATAAAGTACTGTGCATTGTGTTGTGCTCGGTTGAGGATAAGGCTCAGCTACTACCACCTCAAGCTTTAGCGCAATATCAGTCAAACTGGCCGAGTTGTAGCTATTTTTATTAGCGTTAAGGTTGACTTGAGTGGATCATCTGTTCATGTGTATCCAATGATCACTTTCTTAAAGAGACATGCAAATGCATCCAGTGGTTCATGAGATATTTTGCTAACACTGCAGTCAAACAATATGCACACATACACAGACATGGACTAAAATATTACTGCCTCTTCACCTTCAGAAGGGAGCGATAAAAAAGCAAATTGTTGCACAAGGTGGGAGTTTTACATCTTTTTTTTAAAGTGTTTTCCTGCAAACCCTAATTGTGTCCCCACGTTTTCCTTTCCTTGCTGTAAACGAGACGTCATCTTCTTACACAAATAGATTTAGATGAAGTCATTCAGCCAAGCAGACGCACAGAACAATGAGAACATGATCCATACAATCTTTTTTTTTTGCTCCTCTCCATGTTGAAAACTTTGTGCTCCGTCCAAACTGAAAGTGTATCCACGGTCTTAAAACAGCCATCGGTTGCCAAGTAAACCCTCAAGTCATCTGAAGCATTTAGTGTGCTCCCAGTGCGACACGTAGGTGTCAACTATAGGTTGCATACACTGGTCAGACCAGCTTGGAGGAGAAAGGCACTCTGCACAAATCTATGACAAATTATCACCTATCAGCAGAGCAAGCAGAATACATTTTCACACAGATGCACAAACAAACAAAAAAATGCGTGAGCAACTGACGTTTTGTGTATTCAAGCGCAAGAAATGTTAAAATAAATACAAAAATCTAGTTTATTTGAATGCATTAACATGTTTCTTTTGGTTGCAGGTGCTTAAGATTTGGGCATGCCAGTCTTTTTGACAGGCACTTCAGAACGCCTGTGAGAATAGTGTGGAAAATTTGCAGAATTCCATGGACGAGTGTCAGATGAGGTGGAATGTCTCTGATGTGTGCTAGTGGACGAGCTCCTTGGGAAGTTACATGGTCCCTCTGCTGCGTTCTCCAGATGGAGAACAAGACCTATGACTTGTTGTGCATGTCTGTGCACGTTGTGCACATGGCACAGATAACTGGAGGCTGGTTAATGGCAATGGGTAAAAAGCAAAAGTTGATCATTAAGTTTTTACTTTTGATTCATCATAAACTCACTTTCCATAACTTCTTTTCAAGACTCCCTTTAAGAATGTTTCAATATAAGCAACAAGTTCTAAAGAAATCAAGAAGTTGCATTTTTTTTGTGTGTAGAAATGTATAAATCCAAGGTGTTGAATGATTTTGAAGAAATTTTCAGAAGGAGCTGAAACTTGGTTTTTAAAGCTAAAAGAAGCCAAGAACTAGTTAAAAGAAATGCTAGCCGAAAGGTAAAACTAGGTATAAATGCTAAAATAACGGAATGCATTTAACTTGGCTTGCAAAAAGCAAGCTGAAAGCCAAACTGCAAAAACACTAGCAATTCAATTCAATGCAGTTTATGTATTTAGCGCCAAGTCACAACATCTCAGGGCACTGAACAGAAACATTCATATATAAAAAGTAAGTTAACATTATTTATCTGAGGAGCAGACTGCTTAGAGTCTTAACTTTGTCGCAGACTCTCATCTTGAACAAACACGAAGGCGACAGTGGAAAGGAAAAACTCCATCATGATGAAGAAACCTCCAGCAGAACCAGGCTCAGGACAAGTGGCCATCTGCTTCGACCGGCTGCGTTTGAGAGGAACAGATACACAATGGCAGGTCAAGAATCACATGTTCAGGAAGAAATAGTGTCAAATGAAAACTTCAGTTTTTAACAATTAATTTAAGAAAATTAGATAAATTTGTCCTCCGGTAGTCTAAGCTTATAGCAGCATAACAAGCCAACCCTAACTATAGGATTTATCAAAAAGGAAAGACTTAAGCCCAGTCTTAAAACTGGACAATGTGTCAGCCTCACGGACAGAAACAAGTTGATTTCACAAGAGAGGAGCCTGATAACTGAAAGATCTTCCTCCCATTCTGCTCTACTCTAGGAACCACAAGTAAACCTGCAGCCTGAGAGCGAAGTGCTCTGTTAGGAAAATATGGAACAATAAGATCTGTAATATACAAAGTAAGATGGAGCTAGGTTGTTGAGGGCTTTGTAGTTTAGATGTAGGATTTTGAATTATATTCTGGATTTGACAGTGAGCCAGTGGAGAGAAGTTAAAACTGGAGAGATGATCTCTCTGTTAACTCCAGTTTAGACTCTGGCAGCAGCATTTTGGATCAGCTGAAAACTTTTTAAAGAACTATTTGCACACCCAGATAACAAACCATTGCAATAGTCCAGTCTAGACGTGACAAATACATGAACCAGTTTTCTTTGTTATAATGTTAAGATGTTATATTACGCATTTGTTACACAATATTGTTTGACTGCAGTGTTAGCAAAATATCTCACAAACCACTGGATGTATTTTTATGTCACTTTAAGAAAGTGAGCATTCTGTGCACATGGACAGCTGATCAACTCATGATGTACACCTTAACACTACACACACACACACACACACACACACACACACACAAATGCTACAAATCAGCCAGTTTGACAGATATTATGCAGCTAATTCTGAGGAAATTGCAAAGTTGTAAAAGTTCCAAAATGCTGCCTAAAAACAGCTAAATGTTAGCTAAAAGTGGCAGATGTTAGCTAAATAGTAAAAGTAGTTAAATGCAGGTGTAAAGCAAAAAGTAGCAAATGCTAATTTAAAAGTTGCAAGACACTGGGCAAACATAACTAAAAGTAAAAAAAAAAAAAAAACACTAGCTGAAAACTAATAATAGCAAAACAATAGCTAAAAACAGTAACATGCAAGCTAAAATGCAAAAGTAGCAACATGCTACCTAAAAGCAAATAGAAAGAAACTTAAACTACCGGTAACTTAAAGTAGCTGAACTATCTCAAAGTCAAATTAGCAAAAGTATCTAAGACCAGCTAAAAGCCGAACGTAACAAAATGCTAGCTAAAATTTTATAGTAGCTATTTTTTCCAACAATTTCCATTGGGATCAATAAAGTTCTATCTTATCTTATCTTATAGAGACAAAACTAGAGAAAGTATGCTGAAGTAAGTTTGAAAAAGCGTTTTTGGAAATAACAACCCATCTGAATGTATTTCTGTAGGGTTTTATTTTTGAAAATGAAGGTAATTTATTTGGAAAAGTATAAAAGTTACATAAACTAAAAGTCATTGCGTGGTTATAGCTGGAATAGCCTGAATGAGCTGAACATTTTGACAATGGAATGAGTCAAATAGCTCAAACTGAGCAGAAGTAGTTACAAACCAAAAAGGTACAGAACAGACAAAGAATAAAGAGAAACAGGATCACTACAGGGTGAATGCTGAATCAGAGTAAATTTTTTAAATCCACTTTTTTTGAAGAGCATTGATCATTCTTCACTGGAATAAAACGTGCACCATAGATCACTGGATCCATGTTTTTGTGGGGTAAATGCAGGACAGCCCAGGAGGGGAAAGAGAGTGATGCAATGCTAGAAAGATCGCCGTTGCACCAGCGTGATCAACAGCTGCAGCTGACGGAACGGAAGGGAGGTCACCATGAGTATTACTGACCATGACTAAATTTCCGTCTCATTCCGCCTCTGCTTTTCACTTGTTATACTTTCTTTTCCTTCTCGTAAACACAGTCTCTACTTATCCATGGCGCACCTGCGAATGCACAGGTGAGAATGCTTGCAGCAGCATTCAGGCCTACCATCGTTAACGAATTAGGA